CCCTATTGGACGCAAGGAGCTCCCCGCTCTGCGGCGCTTGGTGTCGTGCGCTGGCAGCGGCAGCTGGGCCAAAATTAGCCCAAATAAGGATAAAGGGAGTAGTATATTTTATTATTTTATTTTTCTCTAGTGGCGTAAAGTTCAGTTTTAGGCGACGGCAGCCATCAAGCACTGTAGCATTGTAGCTACAGTCAACAAATGAAACAAGGCTCATGCCCCAAGCAGCGGCCTTGGCTGCCTGGGGCCTAGCACTGCCACTATTCGGAGGTGCTTAGGATGTGCGTGCGTTCATAGAATGAGTGTGTGTATGTACTGGCATTCGTATTTGAATCGTGTTAAAAAAGAACGGCCTGGTATTTGAACCTGTTTCCATCTGTCAATTTGGTGACCAACCAAGCATCTGAATTGTTGGGCAGGGAATATGAAATCAAATTCCAGCACTTTGATGAATACATCCAAACATAGTGTTTTGTGTTTTATATCCGTTGCAAAGTTCATATAAGCTTTGTAAGAGCATCTCTAACCGATTCCCTATAATTTAGAGTAAACGGCCGAGTATCCTTGAGATGAGTGTATTTGCTTCTCTACATAGTGTGGTTTCTAACCAATCCCCTAAACTTAACTTCCTAAATATTTTTTGTCGAATCTTTCTAGTTTTAGTTTACCTATTTGTGCAATTATTAAATGCAAACATAATAGTTTAGGTTCACAAAATTCATGAATATTATAAATTCAATGTGTACAGACCAAATTATACAAGTTCAAATACACGAAAGGGTTCAAATGAAACAAAGAGAATGATAAAAGCACAACTATGAAGTGCTATGGAGATGTCATTGATGCTCAACAAGATTGTGAGAGCCTAGCTTAATAGGAAGGAATGATAGACTACTTATATAAACAAGGATTTCCTTCTTTTTGGGAGCCCATTCAAAAGAACTCCGAAGTTAAGCGTGCTTGGCTTGGTGAATTCTAGGATGAGTGACCGACCAGGAAGTATCTCCTGGGTGTGCACGAGTGAGGACAAAGTGCACAGAAAAGACTAGTGCTGGTCTGTGGGGCCAGTCTTGATCCCGTCAGGCATAACAGGGTGTTACAATTGGTATCAGAGCCGGCCCTTGCGGTTACACGGGCATGCGTGGGTCAAATGTGTCGTGTGTGTGTGTGTGTGTGTGTGTGTGTGTGTGCATGTGGCGCATTGCGCATGTGACTCGTTGTGGCACACAGCATGGCACATGTGCCGGACTAGACGCGCATACGTGTGCTAATAGGGAACGTTCCTGATGGGCCGACAAGGACGCGGTTCCTTTGAGTGGGGGTGTACGTGAGAGCCTAGCTTAATAGGAAGGAATGATAGACTACTCATATAAACAAGGAATTCATTCTTTTCCGGAAGCTCATTCAAAAGAACTCTGAAGTTAAGCGTGCTTGGCTTGGGGTAATTTTAGGATGGGTGAACAACCGGGAAGTACATCCTGAGTGCGCACGAGTGAGGACAAAGTGCACAGAAAAGACTAGTGTTGGTCTAGGAGGCCAGTCTTGATCCTGCCAGGCATAACAGGGTGTTACAAAGATCATCCTGGAGCAGGGTTTATGAACTTTTTGGTTCTCAATGTTGCGATGCGATGTGAGGAATATGTGTATTATGTTTGCATCGTGCTCTGACTCAATAGGATTTCCATTCGAGATGTACCGAAAATTCTCTGGCATGCCTCTCTCATCTTCAATGATTATGTTATGCAAGATGATGCAACATGTCACTATTTTTATTAGGACCTTGGAGTTTCAATACTCGCATGGCCACAAATGATACCAAAGCGCTTCTGAATCACATCTAAAGCTCTCTCCACATCCTTATTTGTCGGTTTTCACACATTGCAATCTCTTATTACCTTTATGATGCGGGGTTGTCTTGACAAATATGACCAATGAAGGATATATGCCATCTGCAAGGTTACTACCCGTCGTGTACTCATGGCCATTGGCATCGTAGTGGCAAGGAGGAGCATCTTTGACAACAAACCTAGCGAACAGTGTGTGATCTCGACAGCACATTCAGGTCATTGTGAGAGCAAGACAATCCAAACAATAAATACCAAATCTATAGATCATCCGATTCAATAGCCTCAAGATGATTGGTGTATCTTTGCCATAGCCTTTGTAGTGAATTTTCCATCCAGCGGGACAATTATTTCATCTCCAGTGCATGCAGTCAATTGATCCAGGCATCCCATGCCATCCTTGTTCTTCATTCAATCCCAATACCCCTCGGTGTCTTCATCGGTGGGTGCCTTCAAGTACCCCGACCCAAAGATCTCAATCTCGAATTTTGTGTACCTCAAATGACCTCCAAGATTGTATCTTCTCCAATGCGGACATAGTCGTCAATGGCGTCGGCCGAACACCGATAGGCGAGCACTACAACAGCCACGATACACATCATAAAAGGCCTTGCACTTTATCTCTTCGGATGCACTGTCGTGGTTCTTTTTTTTTGGAAAAAGAGGTTCAACCCCTGGCCTCTGCATCAATTGATACATGCATCCATCTTTATTAATTGTTCCACAAAGGTTTGACAAGAACATGCATCAATCCACCCGAAGCCACTACTCACACCTATAAACTCGATAATGTGGAGTGCTCTCACTCCCCATATCTAAAACGGGTGTCGTCGCCGATCTATCCATATAACGTATCGGGACCAACAGCCGGTGCAACGTACCTAAATCGCAGACCACATGCACACATTTTAGAAGCCGCCATCATCATCGGACCACTGACCCATCTTCAGGAGACAGATCTGCATCATCTCCCTGCCAGGCCGGACATCCGTCGACGCCACCACGGCGCCCAACGGTGCCACCGTCCTGCGCTCGTCCGCCCAGACGTGAAGAATCACGAAGATCTCTCGTGCGTAGCTGTCGTGATTCTAAACCTGACAATAGAATAAGGGTATGAACGGGGTGTATCTATGATGCGCGGATGGATTACGCAAGTCGTATACAGGTCCAGGCCTCGTTCTTGAGGTAACGACACTAATCCTGTCTCCTCAAAGGAGTTGCTCTTGCGTATAGGATTTGGAATAGAAGGAATGTAAATCCTCCTGAGTTTCAATCAATCATCATGCTTCTCCATAACTTTTGCACTGGTGAGAAAGAGATTTGCGTGCACCCGAAATCATTGGCGAAAATACTTCTCTGAATAGGTTGGATTGGGGTTGAAGTACTCTCTCATATTCTTGGCATGTGTATATGGACGAATTGAGAGCCTCTTCCCAGCCGCCGAAAACCCTCGTTGATGATCATGCCAATGGTCATTTCGAAGTCATCATCGTCTTCCTCCTCCGACAAGTCTTCAAAAATCATCTCCCTCCACCTCTTCATCTACAGCGTGCGCCAATGACACGGTTCAATTCGATTGTCAAAAGAAAAACGAGTTGCAAAAACACGAAAAAAACTCACCTAGGCAAACCATCGAACACTTGAAGGACGACAGAGGTGTCACGGCCTGCTGGCGATGTTGAGCCGATGCCGAAGCTACTAGTGGTCGGCAGGGCTTCGAGATGGCCGAAAGTTGACGGAGAGGCTCGGAGGAAGAAGATCCGGTCTGTCCTTCCAACGATGGGATAGATGTGCCGGTGGCGGCGAGGATAGAGTTCGATACCGGCGATGGCAGCGACCATATCGGAGTGTGGCAGGAGGGCAGTGGAGGCAACGGGGTGCCGACAGAGGCGCTGGGTGGTCGCCGAAAGCTATGCCGAAGATGACATGGCGCAGGGTGGCAACGTCGCGGGCACGGGGGAGAGGCCAAAACTTTTACTCCACGTGTGGGCGGTTGAGTATATTTGAGAGTCGGGCGTCTTCGGAGTGAAAATTGTCCTCTTCTAATGGCGATAGGGATCCAGTTTGGCGCCTGTAGAGGACAAAAACATAATCTATCCTCCTCTAACGCCTTTTAGGGGATCGGTTAGATATGCTCTAAGGTGTTAGTTCATTTTCTATCCAAAGAAAACATGTATACTTAGTTCAGTCCGTTCAAAGTTGACATGTATATTTATCTTAAACGTGATTGACAACATTATTCTCTACATATTTCCAGTTAGAAAAAAATGAAGCCATCAGATGCATATACATGTAGTAGTTCCTGGTTTGGTCGATCGGCTGTTTTTCATCTGTGCTAAACATGGTTATGCCAATATTATCTCCAAGGACTGACATCTATTTATGTTTCATTGATCTCACCCAGGACATTGTTGGCTACAAGATGGTTATCTGTATGTTTCATCGATCCATTAATTCATCTCCTTTGTTCTCATTTTTTCCGAAAACAGGCATTTTATTACTTAAAATATTTAAGTATTACATCCGGCCTCTGCATAATTAAGATGCACATAACTAAATCTCTTTTGTTCTCATGATGCTGCCACTAAATGAATATTGATTTGTTGATGTTTCTTTGCTCAAGGTCCTATGCCATTTTAACTGAAGTGAAAGCAGTGCCTGTTCTTCATAGGGTGATGCCACTTGTCTTCAGACCAAAACGTCATACCCAGGCCAAGAGAAGAAAACATATAAAGACCGTGGAGAAAGTTGCCAACGTCTTCAGGTATGTATGGCAGCTGCAGCAGCTTGTCAAGAGGAGACGAGAAGCCAAGGAGCCATGGTGTGACAATCAACCTTGTCAGAACTTGAAATGGATGTAGTAATGGGTAACAATGTTTCTCGACCATATAAGTCTTGTCTCCTGAACATAATCTGATCAACATTTGACATTTATCAAGAGTTAGGATGAAATGACATCAACCGTTCAGCCAATCAATGAATTAATCCCCAAGAATGCAACCAATATTCAATGATAGGCAAACAATCCTACAGAAATACACATCACACAAACAATATGAATATTTGCAAAAATGAAATCGACATCAAACCGGCACACCGTGGGATCTCCAAACAAGATGGCTCCAGCCAGACTGGCAGAGAACTGCCCAAGAAGCTTCATCAGTACTTAACGCTACAACGCTCGCCGGAGGCCAGAGCGCCGCCGACGCCGACGCCACCCTCCGGCTTGACCGGAACCGTGAGCCAGCACCAAATCCTCGGCTTCTGGCGGATCTTGATGCTGGCGAACCTGTAGCGCACCCGCGCATCCACGTCCACCTCAAAGCTCACGGCCCCCGCGCCCGCCCCCCTCGCCAGCTCCCCGGCGACGTCGCCGGGGACGCCGACGCCGCCGCTCCCGTCGAACTCCAGCCTGACCGTGTCGGCGCTCTTCCTGCGCTGCAGGAACTCCGCCGGGGAGGAGGCGACGCGGGCAGCGGGGCCGCCGAGGGGGGCGCCGCCGCCGCCGGCGCGGAGCTCGGCGTCGAGCGCGTCGTAGTAGATGGGCACGCGGAGGCTGGGGTTGTAGAGCTCGAGCCCGACGGTGAGGCGGTAGGAGACGGTGGCGTTGTCGCGGGCCACGGTGAGGTTGGCGAGCGTGGCGGAGCTGACCGTCGCGCGGATGTGGTGCGGCTGGAAGATGGCCCAGTAGATGAGGATGACGAAGCCGGCGGCGACGAGGAAGGTGAACAGGCTGCCGCAGCAGGATCTCTCGCGGTGGGTGCTGTCGGACATGGCGGGCGGGCGGGCGGCGGAGGAGGAGGTCGTTGGTGGGTCAACGGGGAGGGGAGGAGCAGAGGCGCGCGGGTGGGTGCGTGTGCGAGGCTGTGGCGAGCCTCGAGGCCTCTTTGTCCTCTGGGCCGTGCGTCGTCGGAAGCATCAGAGAACAAACATAAACCGCGTCGAGTACGTAACTTTTTTTCGAGAAGACTTGCGACTGGCCTGGGTGTTCAAGTCGTCGTCTATGCCTTGAGCGTTGCACACGACGCGCCGGGTGATGTCCCATGACGATTCAGTACCGCCAGGAATGTTCCAGTAAAGTGCGATGCAAGGACCGTGAAGTCTGTGAGCCAACTCCACCGCACGACCTTAAACGGACGTCCGTTTTGTTCTGTTTTTGTTTCTTTGGATAGGGATTTGGGGTCGTGTCCGGGCCTGTCGTGAGATGCGGTGGTCGTGCGCCCACCGCGCGGACGCATCCTTTTGCTTCATCCTGTCCGCGTCTATTTTAAAAAAAGGGACGTTTCAAATGCCAAGTCCCAGTTCACGACCCCAGTTCATCACGCCGGCAACAAAGCCAGCGGCCTACACGACCATCGCCGGCAACACAGCCAACCTCCAAAATGAATAGTTGTCCTCGCCGGCAACACAGCCGGCCTCCAAAGTGAATGTTTTTTCACCGGCACACTGCCAGCGGCCCAGCGGGCGAGCGGCGCCCATGCCAGCCTCCAAAAAGAACGGCCACGCCGATCGGACGACCTAATTCAGGCCTTCGGCGTCGAGCATCTCCTTCTGCTTGGCCTCGAACCAGGCCCTCGTCTTGTCGCTCATCTTCAACAAGTCCACGCTCATGATCGCAAGGGCCACCTCCTTCGCTTTGGTGGCGGCATTGGTGGCCTCGATGTCGAGCTGCCTCTGCCTGGCCTTGACGTTGTCGGCCTCGATGTCGAGCTGCCTTTGCCGGGCGGCCTCTTCCATGTCGAGCTGCCTTTGCCGGGCCGCCTCCTCCATGTCTATCTTCCTCTTCTTGGCCGCCTCCTCCATCTCAAGCTTCTGTCTTTGGAGGTCTAGGTATTGCTTCATTTGCTCGTCCTTGCTTTGCCGCTTCTTCTCGTCCCTCACATCCTTATGTGACATTATGCCATGCAAAGTCTCATGCAAGGCCATGGTTGAGGCGTCACATATGTCGTCCACCTTGGAGTTGGTCTTGCCCCTCGGCCTCTTCAACGCCTCGCCATCCCCACCTCCGGCGAACTTGGCTGTTTTCTTGCCTCTCTTTCTTTGAAGTTCACGGTATTGATCCTTGAACTTAGGGCAATTGTTGATGAGCGTCCAACAATGCGTAAGAGTGAATGGCTTGTCATTGTGCCGGGCCTTGAATGCCTCCAAAGATTGAAATGCCTACACCACATGATCAACAACAAGTGAACATGCAAACATATACACGGCCAAAGTATCATGGCCGTAGCAAGGAAAGGGCTAGAAAGAGAAGAGCATACCATGTCCCCAACGCCGAGACCACTCACGGGCCGTGCTTCAACGCTCTCAAATGCGGCACAATACTTGTTGCACTCTTGTTGGATGAACAACCATCTTTTTTGAATCGAACCGATGCCACGGTTGCTTGTAATTTGGTAGGGCTCAAACATCTTCCTTTCATGGAATGTTTTGTGGACTCTTGTCCAAAAAACAATACCCTTTTGTTGCGCTCCGGTCCTTGGATCTTGGCTAATCTCCATCCAACATTGACAAATCAACTTGTCCTCATCTTGTGTATATGAACCGGTGCGAATGCTCTTCCGTTTCTTTTGTGCTTCCGCTCTTTGGGTGAGCTCGTCTATGAACAATGGAGCACCACTAATATCAACATCATTGGCTTCATCTTCATCTTCACCTTCGACATAGATGTCGTCGTCTTCATGCCACGAATCACCATGGTCGTAGTCAGCACGGTCGTCGGCCTTCTCATCGGGCACGTACTGGGCGTGGCCATCCTGACTTTGGGTCTCCTCGGGGTCGTAGGCACGGTCATGCCCACCCTGGAAGATCACGTCCTCCATGTACTGGTTGTAGAAGGGGTCGTCCACCATCGGCGTTGAGGTTGGCATTCCGTTAAATAACACGCGGGGGGCCGGCATGGTGCCCGTGAACGGTGCACGCGTCTGCTTTCTTTGCATCTCGACGGACGGCCGCCCGCCGCTGCTGGACCCAGGCATGACATTGAGGTCGATGACGGCCGCGGGGCGTGGTGTGGACGGCGCGAACAAGCCCACGTCCGGCGACGCCGAGAAACGGGTCTGGCCGTCATGCCTGGGCGGAGGAAAGCCGGGCGACATGGACGCGGCGCGCGACATCGGCGACTGGCAGTGCGTAGGCCGGGCGACCGACGAGCCTGTGCTCGCCGGGCCGACGGTCGCTGCATGGAACCCTGCCGGACGGCCCATGCCAAGCATGAGGATGGCGTGCGCTTTGTTGACGAGGTCCTCCTTCTCGTCGGCAGCGGCCTTGCGCCGCGCGGCCTCCAACTCCTCGCGCTGGGCGGCGAACTTGGCCGCGATGGCATTGATCTTAACGGCCGCTCTCCGTTCCCTCCTCTTCGCCGATTCCGCGTCCAACTTGGCGATCTTCTCCGGCGTGCACTCCGACCGCGGCTTCCTTGGCGCCTTCTTCTTCACCTTTGCGGTCGGGTCGACGGCCAGGCCGCCGGAACTCGGCGGGGCGTCGGCCATGGACGGGGGAGAGAGGGGGCGGCGGGAGGGACGTGGGAGGGTTTGGGGGAAATGGCGTCAAATGGGCGTGGGGGGGTTTTGGTTTCTCCCACCGACAGGCGGGCCAGGGGAGGACAAGCGCGCGCGTCCCGTCCGTCCGCGCGCTGTCCGTTTCACCCCAAAACCGGCGTAACTTTGGGCCGGGGATGGATCGAAAGCAGACACAAAGCGGACAAAAGTCTGTTTGCGCCCGCGCGCTGAGCCGTCTCGTTTGTCCCTTTTACCCCAATCGAACGGGGGCGGACAAGATAGGGTCGCGCGGTGGAGTTGGCCTGAGGGCACCTCCAACGCGGTTACCAGATGGACGACAATAAATAGATCCGTCCGTGGATAGAGGGCTAGGCGTCAGCCATCCAACCGTGGGCACCAAATGTCCGGCCAATTTGAAATGAAGCGGGCATAAAAATGAATGGGACTTAACAAAGTTTAACATATTTACAACCAGACGGACGGAATTTAATCAGTTGAAACTAAATTTGACCTTATAACTAAACTACACGAGGTATTTGATGGTGACCTTCATGAAGAGAGCCAGAATTTAAACATAGGAAGGATGGCGGGGAAGGGAGGAGCGAAAGAGATAGCTATCACATGTAAATATGTGTAACAAGTCTCATAAAATCGCCATGAAGTAGTTGCACAAATAATAATTTACTAGCACATATGCCCGCGCGTTACAACTAGTGAGATATTATTTTTTGCGAGAACCAACGTGTGAGATAATTGATGTGTTCACCATGGGCAACAGAGCGAGGAGCTGCGGTCTTTTTTTGGGTCATATTTGGCCCGCGAGATCTTCATAGTGGTAAGGTTGGTCGACGTGGCGGCGACCACCCAATTCGTGCATTTTTCTCCTCCGGGTCCGCCACCGTCTTTGGTTTGTGGTTGCCTCATCATTTGGTGTCTGCGCGACGACCTTCGGGGCAAAGGTTGTTTCAAACACTCTCTCATATGATGGAATAACCGGATGGATTACTAATTGCAGCGCATAAATCCCGTTGCCTTAGCATAATGAGTCATGAATGTCCCCTCTTTGTTAGGGTTTATGCTTTTTGATTATTTTAGTGCTCACGCGCCCATAATTTTTATAGTTAGAGCCAAACCAACATATTCTCTTTTATTGGAACATGCACAATTTTTTCACCAATAAGCATTTTCACTTTTATTGGCACGTGCAAGCTACCACCGGTAATAATTTATGGAGTCCCTCGTTCTTCTCATGATTCTCGAGACAACTTCCTTATTTTCAGACAACTTAGAAACATTTGAAAAAAGATGTAATTTAGTATAAAGCTTCAAGGAGGGACTATTGCTATCATAATTGCAAGCTGCCTGAGTTGGTTTTGTCCTGCGGCACAATAGGAAAGATCCATAGTTTAATTCCCTCGCATCCTAATTCTTTTATGCTCGTTCATTGGAGGGAAAAAGACATGTGTGGTAGGCCTAGTTCAGCCCACCCGGGGGACGAACGAAAAAGAATCATGAACTACGTGCGGAATAGATTAAACAAATACGTGTAGTTAATAGAAGTACCAACCGTTATTATGTAACAAAGTTGACTTGCTCAATTGGCATCCTCCTGAGGAACCGGATGAGACATCGCAAGTTCGATTCCCTACGGCCATAAAATATTTTGCCTCCCTCAGCGAGGATTGATGGCTGGATGCGGAGCAGACCCATTAGGGGAGTGCGGCTAAGGGGGTATTTGTATCCAGGGACCTTTTTGTGTAGGGACTAGAAAAAATCCTTCTTAGAGACTTTTTTACCAAACGGGAGGGACTTTTTAGGGACTAAACTAGGCATTTGAGACTAAATGAAGAAGACCATCAAGGAGAGTCTTTTTGGGACTTTTCTAACAATGCCCCTCCATGCACCCATTGGCCCGCCACCCCATGGTGTTGTTTGATTGTTATTTTTCTATATACTAGGGGCAACATGGTCATTCAATAATCTTTAGGAAGGGACTAGGAACTTTTTAGTCTTGGAAAACAAACAGGAAGGGACTTTTTAGGGACTAGGGACTTTTTAGTTGGAACTAGAAAAAGTCCTAGGACTAGAGAACCAAACACCACCTAAGGTCCAATACAACCTAGGAGACAGAGCAACTATTTTTGCTTTTTCCTGTTTGAGTGCTGCTAACCACACGAAGAAATGCGTCCTGCTAACCAATGGCTAGCGTGAATATTTAAGAACATACTGCAACATCAGATCAAAACATCTTTTTGAGTTTTTAATTTTCAGAAATAA